CAACAAGATCTTTTCTAAANACTCACACCACCTCTGGGTTAGCTTTTCTTTTTGGTTAAAACCTTTTCTTGAGGGGTCTGCAGGACCCTGTCTCATTCTGCTGGTCAAGTTACCATTTCTAGCTTTATCTGTACCCTTTACAGCCTCAACAAGATCTTTTCTAAACTTTAAGCTAACCCAAAATAAAGGAAGTTCTACACAATGATTGTCCCTATCTATGTAAGAATCAAAGTCAAAGAGAATGAGACGTGCTCATGGGCCAGAAAAAACGAAGAGAGGACAGTCATAACAAACGCTGGCCCACAGGACGAAGTCTGAGTGCAGAAACTAGTGAACTATGAACAAAGAATATAGCACAGGAGTGGTATTGCACTGATGCTAATTTTGCTGGGTTTTGTTATTTGTCTATGATAATATCACGGTGAAATTTAGAGATGTTTAATGAATTCTATTATTCTGTACTTTTGTGTGAATTTGAAATCATAAAACTTAAAAGTTGTGCAATGGTACTTTTATTCATAGCAAATAAAAATGAAATTGTGAAAAATAATAGTTACATTTTAAATAAATTTCAAAGATAATTACACAATATATCTAAATTTATTTGATTATTAGAAAATTCTGTGGTGCTTTCCTTCATTAAATAGGTTCAATTACAGCAACAATTCTGTTACGCACAGCTAATGATAGGACTTGTCAACACCTACAATAGCTCTCATATACAACCACTTTTAATTGGGACTCAAAATATGTGATGGTGTAAAAATTTTTAAATAAAATTATATTGAATACAGTCAATCAAAGGTCTATAAAAAGCAAAAGCTGTATCAATGACCTGATCAGATCATACTGCCCCCACTCTAACCTTCCACAGCCAACTTCCCCTAAAAATTCTGATGAATGAGTTTGTTTGTCCTTGGGGATAACGGCAATCTATCTGCCTTTTCTTTTAAACATTTCCTGAACTTTCGGACTCCAGTTTCTAGATGCTGTGCGCACTGGCACTGACTGGGCTGTAGTTTTCCTGTGAGGAGACCGGCACGACAAAGGAAGGAAGGTCACGGTGCTCTCAATTACACAGGCCTTGAAGGAAATGAGGGTTCAGCCTTTTCTGGGTTAAAAAAAATGTAACCATCATTTAAAAATGTTTAAGACCCTGCAGTCAGCAATGAGTCTTTGAGACTCAGATCTACTCCAATAGCTGGACATGTTTCTCTGGCTTTCAGGGGCCACCTGTCAGTCGTCCTAGGAGGAGGAGCTAATGATAGACAACAGACTGAAGAGGCTTATTTGTGTACTCGGCACTCACTGTGCCTCTGGGAAGGGAAATGCAGACTGGTCTAGGACTTCACTGAAGTCCTGCATCTACAGAGTCAGGCCCAACACTAGCTCATCGGAATCCATCTTTCTGCTTTCTTCTGTAAGATAGATGGAGGGGCAATAGAGAAACCACTGTGCAAATATCCACCACCGTGGATTTAAAGTTATTCTGCAATTTTACTTTCTAATACAAATATTCAGATAATCTGAAACTATCCCCACTTTAAAGTCTTCTGTGATAAACAATTTGACTGTTTTTTTTTTTTTTTTTCAAAATTCCTTTATATGCAGGATTTGACTGTTTGTTGGCACATTCAAGAAAGTGGTCATGGATTTGATTTAGCCAAACTTTGGGTTACGGATCCTTAGGCAACTTAACTACTGGAAGATCCATTTGTTGGAAGTGGTGATCATGAGATTTGCTTCTGAAGACTGAAAGGCCTGGTGGGGAGCCTGGCGCTATTGTTCCTGTGCCCCGCAGTCCTTTGTGACAGTGAGAACAGCACAGCCACTGCCACTGGGATTCCTGGGCTCAGACTTCAGTCAGCAGACCCCACCCCCAGCACTGGAAAGGACATGAGGGTGTGCCAGACACACAGCAGAGAATGCTTCCCTGACTCTGCTCCCCAGTGCTGAACACATAAAGAGGTTTTCATACATAGTTCTGGTACATCAAAGAGAACATATTTATTCTCAACCATAGGAAGCATTCCAGTATGTAGGGCCGTATCAAGGCAAGGTTTTGAATAAAGAAGACTATTACTGAATAGGAGAAGTGGTAGTGAGTCCACAAGTCGGCTTAGCTGATCAGTAAATCAAATCCTCAGGACAGACGCCCAGGAACTGGGTTTTGCTGGAATGCCAGTTATAGCACTAAAGAAAGCAGCTGATGAAAACAGCCCTTTCTGCTATTGCTCACTGTTGACTACAAAGAATGGGGTACAGTTTGTCTTATCCTAGGAACTTGGTCAGACATGAGAGTCAGAAGGAAAGCAAAGGGAAAGGCCAGTTACCAAAATACCCAAGTAGCCACAGAATGGACACAGGGGACTGACTGCAGCAGATGCCAGGGCACACAGACAGCAGCTTGGGAAGAACAAAGACTAGGAGCAGCATTTTAGAAAATGAACTGATGACTGGCTGAAAGATTCCCATCCCTGAACTGCTAATTATTTTAGGAAGTCTTTTGTTAGGGTGAGAACTGGGAGACTAGAAAACAAGGGATCCAGCCTGAGGGTTAAAAAGAAGAGGGGAGAGGCTGAAAATTATAGACCTGTAAGTGTAGCATCTATATTAGGAAATAAATTTGAGATGATACTCGTGGATGAGCTTAATGATACATTTGGAGAAGTACAATTTAATAGGAGTGAGTCAGCATGGATTTACCAAAGGCAATCATGTCAGGAAAAATTCCTTCCTTTTCACGTTGAAGTAATAATTGGTTTTTGTAAAGGAGAACCAATGGAAAACTGTCAGGGTTTGCAGAGTGTTGGACTTTTCATAAAATAAATTATTGTACAGGATGTCATGACATGTGTCAGAGCATCAAACTAACATGGAGTAAGAAAGGAAGAGGGTGGAAACAGAGGGCCAAAACCCTGGGAAAGGAAGGACTGCCTCCTGCAAGGTCTGCAGAGGGGAGACACGGCCTGGCTGCAGATGGAAAATTAAGAATATCAAGTAAGTATAGCTTGAATGGCACTGAATTGGTTCTAATTAGAAGGGAAGACAAAGGCTGCAGCGTGTTGACAACAGTCAAACTTCCCCATTCCTGTGTTTATAACTGGGTAAGTGCCAAGAAATATGGTTGAATAAAATGTCATAAAAATACAAAATCTAACTTAGAAGAATATAAAAATATAGATTTGTAAAGAAAGCACAGTAAATTCATATCATTATCACCCTGTAAGACAATAGTTTAGGGTACTATTTAAAAGAATATGTAGAACTAATGAAAAACTAATTTAAATATGAAAAACATGACATCAGAAAACTGAAAAAAAAATAAGAAAAGTACCTATCATGGCTTACTGCTTAATCTTTCCTCAAAGAGAACGCTGCTTTCTCAGTGCCTTCAAGCATCCCAGCTTCTCAAAGGGAAATGTGAGATGGGGGAAAGGCGGGCCACATTCTCCAGAGAAAGGGAGCAGTCTGGTCAAACAGCCAGGGAGCCTCAGAGCCCATCACTAACTAGCACTGAGCACTGCCGGTACGTGAGCACATAAGATGGACACAGAAAGATGTCCGTGAGGAGCTTTCCTTTCTCTGGCACTAAGTTAAGAGCTACTTCCCCTTATAGAGTCCATCCTACACATACAGCTGGGGTGACGGCGAGGGGCAGGGGAGCATCAAAAGTTGCAGGAGCAGTCACACTGGGTAAGGGCTCTGCTGACCAGCTAGGAAATGCACTTCAGCACCTCTGCTGTACCACTTTCACGCTGATGAAGAACCACGGGCAGGGAGAGTCACAGCAGTCTACAGGACATTATCTATCTGTGTGAACTCTAGCTGATAAGGTGCCAACCTCACATCACTGCATACAACAAAGGTCAAGAAATCAGCCACCCCATCATTACTTTTATATACTGATAACAGGAATTTATTTTTAAACTGAAAGAATGGAAAGAATACACCAGTATCAAACTTAGCATAGACACGCATCATCAGATACATTAAAATAGTCTAACTTAAGTTCCACACATAGAATGTTCACACCAGAGAAAGCTCTCCTTTCTCTGATGTGGACATCATAAGTACAAAAAATACATACCTTACAACAGCCCTGTCACTACGGAAAGGCCTTCCCTTGGTTCTCACACATACAGAGCCTATCACAGCTCTACTGTGTTAACAGTCCTATCCACGAGTATCCGAGCCAACGGCTCCACTGCATGCACCACACAACGGCACCCTCACAGTTGTACACTAAACAATCCTCGGCACGGTGAAGCCGTCCTGTCACGAGCCACCTGGCAGAGTGAGAAGCAGGGGTGACTAGCAGCTAGCCTCAGCAGACCAGGCTACACTAGCTGTATTTGCACACAGGGCCACAGCACAGGACACTTCTCCACACTGACTTTAGAGGTGGGTGCTTCCTTAAATAGAACACCATTCCCGCAGCCCAGTGCTTCCTTTTGTGTAGAGACAGTTCTATACTCAGGGACAGTTTTCAATTAAATAAAAAGCTGGGCGATGGGAACCAGTTTGCTTCCATCGCCTCTGACTCAGACATGGAGATGTAGGAGCCATCTCGCAGCCGTGCCGTCGCCAGGCCATCGCCTCTGACTTGAGTCAAGTCCTCAGTCACATTCTCAGAAAACAGCAATGCAAGGAGTACAGTGCAGCATTTCAGATCATAAATACACTGAAAGAATTAACTTCTACTGATTAATAAACACAAAAGAAACTCTGGCCACAGCATCTGGCTGCCCTACAATGATTTTGTTAGCTCTGTATATGTGACAGAGTACAGGTGCAAGGGCCTGTCTTCACGCAGAGCAGAGAAGGAACAAGACGAACTTCCACACAGGGCCCAGAAACTGACTCCATCAAAACCTGATTTCGCGCGAAGAAGCCACAGTAATCTACAAACAGCTTCATAACTACTGTGGTAAATGAAATGAGATCCTGCTAAAAAACAAAAACAAAGCTGCAGCACTTTAATGGTTTCCGTTCCTTACCAGCATGCAGGTACGCGAGGTCAGGGTTCTCAATGTCAGGATGCTGCTCTTTCAAGTGGTTCCGGAATTCCACGGGGACATTTGTCCCATAGTCACACTTTGGGCAGTTGTACATCTTGACACCTTCATGTTTGCCGGTGTGTAAAATGTGTTTGCGGATATTCTCCGCACAGTTTGACCTATGACGTAAGAAAGTAAATGGAATTAAGTCAAATAAGTATCACTATGTCACAAATGCTTGTAGTTGGAGGCTGCTCATTCATTTCCCAGCTGCCCAGATCCAAAAAATCACACAGAAACTATATTAATTAAAACACTGCTTGGCCTATTAGCTTACTGGGCTTCTTATTAACTAACTCTAACATCTTAAATTAACCCATTTCTATTATTTCATATTTTACTATGAGGCTTGTGGTTTACTGGCAAGGTTCTAGCGCATCTGTCTCCTTCAGCAGCTACATGGCATCTCCTTGACTGCCCCTACTTTTCTCCTCTATCTCTGCTTGGAAATCCTACCTTGCTCTATTCTTCCCTGCCATAGGCCAAAGCAGCTTTATTCATTAACCAATGGTAATAAAATAAGACATTCACAGCATACAGAGAAAAATCCCATATCAACTATATATATCAACTGTATAATATCAAATTATTCGGGTACTATCCGAGGGCAGTGAAGGTGTTGGCTTATACACCAGACACACAAGCACCCTGAAGAGTGGTAGCAAATGAAAGTCACTGAGCTCAGAGCACTGAGGAACACAGCCTAACATTTTTGGGTTCTTCCAGTAAAAGCTGCTCCCCTTACGGTGCTGAGGCAGCCTAGATAGGAAGGAAGCCACCAACAGTCCCTTGTTTTGTCCCATGTCAAGACAATGTGTTGGTACCAGAAAGCTCCCTGTAATGGTGGGGTTTCAGAGGTTAGACTGGACACTATTGTTGAGGGCCCACTAGCCAGTGAAAACAGAAGTGAGTAGAAAAAAGAACAAGACATGCATTGATACTTCCTGAAGATGCTGCTGAAGAAGGAACTCTGCAGCCACTCTAAGAGAGAGAGAAGAAAGTCAGCAGAGACACCTGTGTCGTGCCACACAACAGGCCAGGAATCACCTCGGTGTCTCATGCTCAATGACATCATGACACTTACTTCTCATGGAATATTAGCCTGTGTCATCATTCACATGTAAGGATAGCTCATGAGACTGGAAATGGAGACTGGGGGTCCCTTTTAATTCACTGCCACGTGAAGCTGGAGAGGAACCCTCAAGGCATGGAACAGCGAATGAAAATAGGAGGAACAAGAGTCCACAGACAGGATAAAGGTGTCTCCTACTGAGAGGACGGGTGCTGAAATACAAGTGAATGAGAACATGGGATCCCAGTGACAGCCCTGCACTGAGATCACTGTAACCCAAATGAAGATACTACTTTGGAAAGCTTCATGCCCATGAAAAGACAGAGTACATCCTCAAACAAGCACACCCTTTAAGTAGAGTTAGAACCGTTAATGTGGAGAACATAAGTCCCTTTATGCCAGGGAAAGCTATTAGAAAAACACACATCAAAATGCCAGTATAGCAAATACTGAAATGCTGATTCGTTTCCCGTTCCAAGAATACTTTAAAATTTACACACTAAAATTAAAAATAAAAACTGTTAACATTACTATGCGTGGGGTTAGAACTACAGAGATTTTCTAGCTAATTCCAGCATGATTTGGGCAACGGCTCGGTCAACTGAAATACCTCTTTGAGTTTGGACAGACTATGCATTAGCTAGGTGATACACAAACACATATTTCATTTCTTATATCACCTGATTACTAAATCTGCTTTGCACATGAATTTGCACACTGTTAATCAACAATGAGGAAAAGAAGAAAAGTACTTATGTGTGACTGAGGTAATCGCTGAGGACTTGCCAGGACCAAAACCAAACATTGTTCTGATAAGAACAACATCTTTGAAGATCTTTTAAAAATTAATTCTTTGAAAACGTCACGTAGCATACAATAATTTCAAGCATACTCACCCCGCACTCTTTCTGGATCTACCCCCTCACTCCACATAGTTCCCCTTCTCCTTCCCCAAGTTTTATCTTTTAAGGTTTTTAATACATCGATTAATGAATTTATTGTGTATGGATGCATCTGTGCTACTGTGTGTGTGCATGTGTGTGTGTGTTGTGTGTGTGAGTGTGAGTGTGTCCGGACGTCAGCCAATGACTTCTCAACTCCTCTCCTTCGACCACGCTCATCCAAGTACTCAAGCTCAGGTTCTCAGAAATGGCAGTAAGCGCAGTTACCACCAGACCATTTCGCTAGCCCCTTTTGTTATTTTCTAACCCACTGAGTCCAATTTGTGGCTGTCCATAAGCCCATGGTATCATAAAATCTTAAAGCAAACGTACCTTCCTGCCCAGCCTATCAGCTTGAAACAGAACTGAATAAGACAGCTGTCATAGTCAGGGTTCCTACTGCTGTGACAAAACACCATGACCAAATGTGCTTTGTTTCATTCACACTTCTACGTCACAGGCCATCAAAGCAAGTCAGGGCAGAAACTCAAGCAGGAACCTAGAGGCAGGAGTTGAAGAAGAGGCCCTGCAGGATGCTGCTTACTGTCTTGCTTGGCCTGCTTTCTTACACACTCCAGGACCATCTGCCCAGGTGGGGCACCACCCACAATGGACTGGGCTCTTCCACATCAATTACTAATTGAGAGAAATACCCCACAGGCTGTTTGAAAGGCCAATCAATTGTGGTTCCCTTTTCTCAGGTAACTGTAGCTTGTATCAAGTTGGCAAACTAACAAACGAATGAACAGCAACAAAACCAGAACAATTAATCTTTGTCTACTATACATGAGTACAGTACTACTAAACATAACCCTTCCTTTCTTACTTACCCCAGGAAGTCATGTTAATGTCATTATCACAATATAAAAACGTTTTAAAGCCAGGCGGTGGGGCGCACGCCTTTAATCCCAGCACTAGGGAGGCAGAGGCAAGCTGATCTCTGTGAGTTCAAGGCCAGCCTGGTCTACAAGAGCCTACTGGAGCTAGTTCCAGGACAGGAACCAAAAAAAAAAAAAAAAAAAAAAAAAAAAAAAAAAAAAAAAAAACAACTACGGAGAAACCCTGCTCGAAAAACAAAACAAAAAAAAAGGCGGTGGTGGCGCGCGCCTTTAATCCCAGCACTCGGGAGGCAGAGGCAGGTGGATCTCTGTGAGTCGAGACCAGCCTGGTCTACAGAGCTAGTTCCAGGACAGGCTCCAAAGCCACAGAGAAACCCTGTCTCGAAAAAACAAAAAAAAAAGAAAAAGAACAACGTTTTAAAAATGTCTTTTAAAAGCTAGTATATCTTTATAAGCTCCACAGTCTTTAAAAATTAAAATACTTAAAAAGCTCAGTCTCTTTAAGACATGCAAAAGTCTCTCTCAGAGCTCCAAGCCTCTCTGAAACAGCCAATCTGTCTCTAAAACATCCAGTCTTCTCAAATTTTCAAGACTCTAAAAGCAAAGTCACTCATTTGTGGGGTCCTGGAAAATCAAAAATCCAAGTTAAATACTTCCTTACTTCATAAAGAACTGGGACATAGTCACAATCAAATTGGAACAAAGCACAATTTAACAGGCTAAATATATCTGTGTCCAATGTATGGGTTTCACTCATGATTTTCTGGGTTATAAGGGGCTTGGCAGTTATTCACAGCACAGCTTGTATGGTAGGCTCAGGCTGCCTCCACTCCACAGGTACAGCTGCCCTGGCCTGGCATCAAATGATATTTCACATCTCCAAAGTCCTAGGCTCTCTGCTGCTACTGGAGTGTACATACACCAATGTTACCAACTCCAGCCTTGACACTCTGGCCACCTCTGTTTCTGTGGGCTGACCCTGAGGAGACACCTCAGTGATGTTGGTTCTTTAGTCCCAGCCCCCAGCATCAGTTCCCAGAAAAGCAAGCTTGCACTTCACAGCACTTCCTGCTAATCACAGTCAATTCTTCAGCACCGCAAATTCTTTTTTTTTTAAAAAAAAAAAAAGATTTATTTATTTATTGTGTAAATAGTAGTCTGCCTACATTCATGCCTGCAGGCCAGAAGAGAGCACCAGATCTCATTAGAGATGATTGTGAGCTACCATGTGGTTGCTGGGAATTTAACTCAGGACTTTTAGACAAGCAGGTGGTGCTCTTAATGGCTGAGCCACCTCTCCAGCCAATTCTTAATTCAAAATAAGGCAGGGCCTTGATACAACCTTTAGGGGATTCAGAAACTTCTAAAACTTCCCCAGTCAGGCCTCCATGGTGCACTCCTCTCGGCATGATCATCCAAACTCCCACAACAGCTCAACGAAAACTCAAATGCTTCGGAGCTCAAAGTTCCAAAGTCTTTCTCCAATCCTCCCCAGAACACAAGCTCAGCTTTGTCACACCCAATGCTTTCTATTGCTCAAACAGCAGGGCCCAAGGAAACGCTGAAGGGAGACCCCAGTCTTACATAGCATGAAAGAGCAGAAAGTGTTTGTTATACCAGCATGTATGAGGAGTCGTTCACCTCTACAAACGGCAACAACCCGGAGATGAGCGAGTAGCTCCTTTTAGGCACAGGGAGGGGAATTTTAGGGACAGTCAGGTCATCTCAAAGTGATGGGTTAAACAAGCAACAGTTCCATTAATATACTCTGAATTGGCTGAGGTTTGGTCTTACCATCTTTGGACACACTTGCACAAGCATGGGTAAGTCCGGATGTGACTCAGAAGGGGCTGCAGGACTTGTCCTTCAGACACTGTGAGGCTGACTTAGGCCCTTTCATCGTCTCCTTCAACCCTGACTAAGGGCTCTGTGGATAAATGGCCCTTTTTGGAATAGACACCTGTTTTGCCATTCTCAGAGAGCTGCAACTGAAATTCATTTGTAAAGAGTGGAGAGTTTAAGCCCTTCAGTAACAAAACACCAAGAATGAAAACGAATTGGGAAAGAAAGAGTTTATGTTTCTTACACTGGCAGATCCCAGTCCATTGGTGAGGCAAGTCAGGACAGGGGCCCGGAGGCAGGCCGTGGAGCAGAGGCCATAGAGGAAAGCTGCTAACTGGCTTTCTCCTCACAGCCTGCTCAGACCAACTTATGCCGTCTGGGACAGATGAAAATAGAAAGACCCAGGAAGACCTTCCTCACAGACT